AAGCGTCTTATTTCAGCGACGCGGTCGAAACAACAATAATCATCCGAGCAGCCCGCGACTTCGCATGCTTCAGATTGCAAGTCCGCCGGGATCCGAACTTCGTCGCACACTGAAAACTGGCATGGCGTTATGAACTATTGACCCCACGCCCGAAAGATGGGAACTGTGTCCCGCGAAATGTAGTCATCAGGGCAACCCGGGATGGCATTGTGACTACGAACGCGAAACCAACAACCGCCAAAAAAATGGGAACTTCGGATCCCGACGAACTACAGCAATCATGCGCCCCTTGCCCCGATGACTGAGACGTTTCCCGGAGGCGGCCGGATTGTTCGTTACTGAATGAGGACATGTTTTCGTGTCGAGGTTGTCGTCACGAAACATGCGGCGCTCACGCTGAAGAAACGCCATCGTCATTGCAGTGAGCGGCGCAGGCGTTCTCCATCGCGCGCACGCAACGTGTGCATTCTTTGTTCTGGAGCCCGCGGATGTTGCGCGCACAGTCCTGGCATTTGTCGTGCGGAATGCGATATCGCATCCCTCACGACCAGCACCAAGAGCGCGCGCTCAACATCCATGGCCTCTATGGTGGATCATGTGCACGTTGTGTGCACGGGATGGAGACGACAACAACTCTCCCGGGATTGACGCCATAGTCTCTTTGGGGAGGGAGGCTCAAGTGTTGCGGCCAGAACACGAACACGGAACGACGACCCCCTCCTGTTTATGAATACCTTACCTCTCACTGCACGCCACGTGGACGACGGATATCCTTCCCACCGTGGCCACCATGCGACGCTTTGTACCAACAGCGGTCGCGCGCAGCCCATGCGTCTCCTTTGTGATAACCAACCTCTAATCTCTTTGTTGAGAACAGCAAACGAGCGAGGGAAGTGTTTCGAAGGGTTTTCGTGTTCTGCTGGGAATAGGCGATTTCGTGTTTGCCTCGACCGCGCGGGAGTGGTTTGCAATATCCAGCTTGTGATCAACGGCAGTTTTTCTTCAATGCCAAGCCAAACAAGAGTCGTAGGGGCGGTCGCGTGGAACGAATGAGAGAGAAGCAGAACGGGACACGCAAACCGTGTGCCCCAATGTCCACGTCATCCGTTCCCGCCGTCCCAGCCACTTGCGACACGTGGCACGACATGATGATAATGATGACGACGGTGATGAACACGATGATAGTGACGATTACGGTGGTGATGTTGATCTGGGCGACGATGTCGCTGACGATGATGACGATGTTGATGATGATGATGATGTCGATGATGATGTTCGTGATGATGATGATTGTGATGACGACGATGATGATGATGACGATGATGACGACGATGATGACGATGATGATGACGATGTTGATGATGGCGATGACAACGAAGAGGACGATGGTGGTGATTTTGATGACGGCGACGATGTCGCTGATGATGATGTTGTTGATGACGTTGATGATGTTGATGATGATGTCGATGATGATGACGATGTTGATGACGTTGACGAGGTTGATGATGATGTTGTTGATGATGATGATGATGTTGATGAAGATGATGATGATCACGATGACAATGATGGTGATGATGATGATGATGATGAAGATGATGACGCTGATGGTGGTGGCGACGATGATGGTGATGATGGGGGCGATGATGATGATGATGATAGCAAGCAAGAATCACGGGGCCGCTCGCGAGGAAAGAATGAGCGGGAATCAGAAGGGGACACAGAAACCATGTGGCCCAATGTCACCGACATCCTTTCCCTCCGTCCCCGCAACTTGAAACAGGTGGCGTGACGCGACTGCTCCCATGGGCCGGCAAACATGCCTGACACGAGGGCAGGCAGAACAACACTTTACCTTGAAGAGGGCACAACGCACACGATGGCGCTGCTCTTTGACGACTCACAGTTCTTCGAGGAGGCGCAGTTCTTTGACGACGGCGAAGCGCACACGATGGCGCAACTGTTCGACAAGGGCTCAACGCAAACGACGGTGGCCACTTGCTGACGCAGGACGCAGAGACGAGATGTCGAAGCGGAGACAACCGAACCACAGACGACAGTTGTCGACGAGAGGAAACCCCTGTGCCCAAGCCCGCCGCCGCCTGGCGCAACAGCGGAGCAGAAAAGGCGATGGAGGATGTCGCTGACGGGACGTCGTGCGCGAATGCGCTTGTCAGGCTTGGGATGCGAAAGGGCTGCCCCAGACCCGAGGCAGCTGAGTGTCAGACTGTCGTCGCACCCCATGGAAAGACCCGCCTGTGTCCCCCCACACGGCCACAGACCCCGCTCGCCAGCCAGGAGACGCGAATTGCCGCGAACCCCTCCAACCTCCCCTTTCCCCCAGCCCCCCGCCCCCCTCCCCCCTCCCCCCTCCCGCGGTTCTCCCCCCTCACCCCTAGAAAGTACAAACTGCCCCCCGCCGACACCTGAGACCCCCTCCACCGGGGCCCGCGAACCCGAAGACACGAACGCGAGGGGCCCGGAACAAGGGCCCGTTTTCTAATGACGTCCAGGAAGGGCCAGCCCGTAGGGACGTTTTTGTCACACTTCGACGCACCAGGCCCCCCTCGCGACAATTTCGACGTGCAGCCACCGTTCGATGCACGGATCGAACAGCCGTGAGTCGGCGCGCGGACCCTGCACGGAAATCCAAAACGGAAGGCCCGAGGGGGCCTCGTGTCCCACGCGCCTACAAATACGAGCGACGCCCTGGGCATTGACGATGCGTTTTGCATTTTTTGTTGGGGAGATGCTGCCCGACGGAAGCCACGCACCACCACTGTCGTCAACAGTTGGCGCGCCATAGCTGGCACAGCCATTCTTCACCGCGCACGTTTCGTGGCACCGACGCACCCCACATGCCCTCACATGTCCCTCCGCCTACCAAGTCGCTGTCCACGTCATATTCGACGTCGCTCCCGATCTCCTTTCTCGGAAGGCGCGACCGCCACCCCACGCAGCACCCCAACAAACGCGAAGTGCACGCCCAAAGGTGGACAGAGTGCCGGCACGACAAACGCCGGGGTTCGCGCTCATCTTCACTCTGCAGTTCCACACGGTGAATGCGCACGCAGTCGGGATGTATGTTTGCATGTGCGCGCGTGCGGGGGGGGTTTTTTGTGACGATATGCTTGCGCAAATCGAAAGATTTCGTGGCTGCATGTGTGCGGATGGACGTATGTGTGTGTGTGTGTTTGTGTGCGATTGTGTGTTTGTGCATGCTTCATTGTGTGTGTGTGTGTGTTCGAGTGCGTGTTCCTTTGTGTTTGTGTTTGTATTGAAGTGTGTGCCACACGCGCGAGGCAGGATCGTGCGCGCGTCTCTACCTGAGGGGCGTGTGTGTGTGTGTGTGTGTGTGCGTGTGTGTGCCTGTCTGTGCATATGTGTTCGCGTGCGTGTGTGTTCGCGCGCGTTTTTCGCGGGGAGATGCGCGCGAACGTGCGCGGTCAGGGACGAACGTCATGGTTCACCCTTCGATTCCGCTTGTGTGTGGATGTGTGAGGATGTGTGAGGAGAGTATCAACAAACGATTGCGCTCGTGCTGTACTCAAGTGGCGAAGCACGGAAGCTCGGATCGAACACGCGGCGGCCAATAACGAAACACAACGTCATCGTGAGCACTTGCCATACCCGATTGGTTTTGTGTGCTGTCCCAATGTCATATCCGCCGATCTGCCCAATGGATGATCAATCGAAACACACGGTGGCAATGTCGACTCAGCGAACGCATCCATCGACCAATCGCGAAACACGATTAGATCACTCGCGATCGGATGATTGGTCGTGTCTGCCGTGTCGACGTTACCACCGCGTGTGTGTTGTTCTTTCTGTCGTGTGTGTTTAGATCACTCGTGATCTGATGGTCGATCAGATCCATGACAATATGTACACCACACACGTGATGAACCGACCCATCACGAAACGCAAGTCGGCCACTCGCGATCGGGTGATAGATGCTGTTTGCTTCCCCAACAACAGCGCCGCTGATCTGCCCGACGGATGATTAACCAATGCACGAGGCGACAACGCATCCAACCGACTAATCGCGAAACGACAGAAGATTACTTGCGATCAGATGATTGATCGTGTGTGCTGCACCGAAGATCAACCTGCCGGCGAGCGACCTGTTTATTTACCCACCTGACAGTCCTCGAAAGAACCGTCGATCAGTCAGAAAATCTGCCAGGATCAACTGATTGGTCGACAGCTCGGTTCGCGATTGCTCTGTTGGTTGATCAACCACCACACCAACCGCCAACCGAGCAGCCGATCAACCAATCGACTGTTCTGTGCTAATTGATCGTGGAGAACGATCGCGGAGAATCCTCAAGGCAAATGATCATGTGCACGATCGAAACCGGCGAACGAAACGCACAACCGATCGGAAAAACGTCGATCCCGATCTTCGAACGAATAAAAAACACTTCGTCACAATCTTGTTGCACATCGAACCTCGTATAACATCGAACCATGCTGCCCACGGAACCTGGCTCCACATCAAACCTCGGCGAGCGTCGAACCTCGACGGACGTCAAACTTTGGAGGACGTAGGGTCGTCGAACGGCGAACGTTGAGCACCAACACCCCACGCGTCGCCGGCACTGTTCTCGTGATCGCAACGTGGCCGTTCCAACCGAACTGATCTCGCAATCAAACACCGGAAGAAGTTGGGATCCCGACGAGCTTGTGTAGCTGTTCGAACACGCTTCTCAACCCTGGTGCGCAACCACAGCCAAGGACGTGGAAAATTAGAAGTCCGCCGGGATCCGGACTTCAAGAAATTGCTGGACGACGAGTTTGGCAGACACGTGTACATCTCCCACGCAATTTCGCCAAGTTCGGATCCCGACGAACTTCATGCAGCTGTTCGAACACGCTTCGCAACCCCGGTCCCAAACCACAGCCTGTAACGTGTAAAAATTGGAAGTCCGCCGGAATCCGAACTTGAAGAAATTGCTGGACGACGATTTCGGCAGATAGGTGTATGTCTCCCACGCAATTTCGCCAAGTCCGGATCCCGGCGAACCTCATGCGGTTGCTCGAACACGCTTCGCAACCCCGGTCCGCAACCACGGCCTGGGATGTGGAAAAATATGAAGTCCGCCGGGATCCGAACTTCAAGAAATTGCAGGACGGCGAGTTTGGCAGACAGGTGTGTATCTCCCACGTAATTTCGCCAAGTTCGGATCCCGGTCAACTACAGGTTCCTGCTGGCCTGTGGATCCAAACCTCGCTCGCACTATTCCTTGCACACTCGTCGAGTCCGGACCTCGGCGAACCTCGGATCCGTGATAATGCAAAGTCCGTCGGGATCCGGACTTCTACTGCACGGTTCCTCGCACAGACGTCAAGTTCGCACTCCGACGACCTCGCTTGTCTCAATGTGCGGGTTCAGAACGCGGGTTTCTAGCTCCCGGGGTTAGGCACAACTTTGTATTTGAAAAAATGTGTAGCCCGCCGATTGATTCTCTCCCACGCGGTCTCGAGAAGTTCGGATCCTGGCGAACACCCTCCCGTGGATCCGGACCTCGCGTGGCAAGTTCGGACCCTGGCAAACTTCGCGTTGCGCATGGTGTGGGTACTGACTGTGTCCTTTCTCGCGAACGGGTGTTTGCCACAACTTTTGTTTCGCAAAAATGCGAAGTCCGCCGGGATCTGTACTTCTCGTGCAAAGGTTCCTCGTCCCATCGTCGGGTTCGCCTGCTGGGCCGTGGATCCGAACCTGCTGTCTTCCTTTCGCAATGCATGTGGCAGGAGATGTTCTTTTCGCAAGTTCGGATCCCGACGAATTTGCCAAGTTCGAATCCCGACGAATTTGAGTTGTCTTCCTTTCGCAATGCATGTGGCAGGAGATGTTCCTGCCGGGCCGTGGATCAGAACCTGCCGTGCACGGTTCCTCAGACAATCGTAAATTTCGGATCACGGTGGACTACGGTTTCTATAAAATGCAAAGTCCGCTGAGATCCGAACTTCCCGTGCACGGTTCGTCGAAAAACCGTCGACCTCGGACCCCGGCGTGCTTCACCTTTCGGGTGGTGCGGGTTCTGACTATGGACTTCCTGGCGACCGGTGGATTGCCACAACTTTTTATTCGTGCGAAATTGAAGTCCGCCTGGATCCGAACTTCTTGGCAGTTTTGGATGTCGGGCTTAGGAGACAGCTTCGTCTTTCCTGCACAGTCTCGCCAAGTTCGGATCCAGGCGAACATGTCGTAGGGCGTGTTTGCGGCTGGCCCGCGGGCCGGTAGATGTAAACACCGACGAAGCCGGCCACCCGAAATCGGATCTTGGGGCATACACTGCGTCTAATGCCATGGGTCGCACATCGTGAGACATGACGCGTTTACGAGTGTCTCCGTGCCCGTGTGTGTCGTCGGGCATGTGCGCGTGGTGTGCAGGTTGCGTGATGGAGGGGACCTTCTCGACACCACGCATCTTTGAGTCGATCTTCTCGAGACCACAGGCCATGAGTGCCGAGACGCACATTCGCTTAGCAGAACCTTTTCGTCCTTGTGCGAAATCCGTGCGGCATTTCAATGGTGTGACGACGATCCACGGAGCGACCGCAGAGGACTTCGACGAGGACCCATGGATGACCGTCGTTCCGTGCAGGGACGCGCATCTTGACGACTGGGGCGAGGGCAATTGGGCCAGTATGGAGAGTCACTGCCCTTGGGCAAGCCAGTACAAGTTCGCAAATATGTTGGAGTTCAGGGACCTCATCCCACTGCCTGCCGCCGTCCTCGGACATAAGTTCCTGAACCATATGCAGAAAGCACTAAGCTGCATTAGCCGCTATTTCAGTCGCCTCGAGTGCCACAACGTCAGGTCGTCGCCACGAACTTGGGGTGGCTCGCGGAAACAAGAGTTGGCGGACTGCACTCGTCGCTGCTCGTTCCTGGACCAGTACCCGCTCCGTTGCCCCGAGATTTCTCCACGAGCTGTGTCGTACTGCTGTGTGCGGTTGACTGTGTCCGGATCTGATTTCGCCAGAGTTTTGTGTGTCGCTGCTTCGAACAAGAGCAAGAAACTCTTCGACGCAGTTGTGCTCGTGTCGCGCAACGAGGTTGTGATTGAAGGGTCCAAATTTGTGCCGATGCGTGGGCCTGAACGTGTGGATGGGTGGCCAGATTTGGTGATAGCAGGTCAGGTTCGAAACTATTCATTGTTTCGTGAGGTTGAGGAGAAAGCGGCTGACATACGAGACTGCATAGGAAACTCCTTGGCACGACCGGGGGTGTTTGTTAGGATAAAATACATATCCGTTTTTTCGGAGATTGCATCGGTCGACGAACCGCAGACCCGCGTCTATGGATCGTCACTGAATGCTTTGTTTGGCTTCGGTTCACGACGTCGTCCCGGAGGATCCCCAAATGTCGCCGCATCCGAACCGGTCTTTAGTCCTTCTGTTTGAGGGAAAAGAACGGCGAGGGACGAGATGCGGTTGTGTTGCCTAACATGTCAGATTTGTAGGACTGCAGAGAAGTGTGAGACTCCGCGGTTGCTGGTACATGCTGCACCGCACGCTTGTCGTGCAAATCCCTGGTCGTCGTTCGGTTCAGTGACATGACGAAAGTCATGTTGGACGTCCGTTTCTGACGCTATCTCCTGCCATGTCGTGCCCCGACGAAGTTCGGATCTCGGCGAACTTCGCGTTCTGGCCTCTCCGTTAATTTGTCTCTGATGTCATTGGCGTCGGGTGGGCCGCGGGAAAGACCCATCACCGCGGAAGGATCTGCCCGTAACCGGTTTTCGCCCGTCCACCATCAACATGTGCCAAACAGTCGGTCACTGTCGTAGCGAGATGCCAAAAGCACTCTTAGAGATCCCCGTCGCAAGGTTGCGCGAGCTTCTCGTTTCCTGAAACCCGTTGGAGATCCCGGTTGGCGGGCCCTCTTGTTGGAAATCCCGTTGGCACCGTGCTAGGACACCTTGCTAGGACCCCAACTTTCTGTCTGTCTCTCTCGTAGCCTCCTGAAGTTCGGATCCCGGCGAACTTCCTGTGACGCCTGTGTATTGAATGGGCGCTGGGCTTGATGATCCCCCGTGGATTGTGACACGAGTCAAACCCTGATCCACAACTGCTCCTCCAGGGACTCATATAATGTTGTCGCGGTTGCTCGTTCGAACTTGGCTTCATCCAATGCCAAGCTGCGCATATCAGAAGAAGTTCGGATTTCGGCGAACTTGTCCTTCTCAAGCGACCTTTTGTGTTAGTACGGCCTTTCCGGGTCGTGGTTCAGTCCAATCTGTGTTTGCCTGACGCCGTCCCTGCCTGTCATATTTTCCTGAAGTTCGGATCCCGGCGAACTTCACGTTTCGGTGGGTGCGTTGGTTTGGCTTCGGACAGGCACTTTTAGTACGGATCTCGGCAAACTTCGCGTCCTCAACTGTCCGGGTTCCTATCGCTAAACGGAGGACACTGCCTCGTCCAACGCGGGCTTTGTGCGTCATCACCCGTCCATTCCCGATCGGGTGGACATCCGTGTTCCGGAAAAAACCGACGTGGTTGTCGCCCGGCTGCATGAAGCGTGTGCCCTTGTAAAGAATGATCTCGTTGCAGGTAAGAGGTCATTGCTGGTCTTCGCGTTAGAAGTTCGCGGGATCCGAATTTCGAGGTCCTCGGATAGCGTCATGTGACCGACGTGTTGAGGGCAAGGTGTGCCTCCTCTGTTTTTCGCCTGGGTTGTGCTTTGACTGCGATTTGACGATCGCTGGTGTTTTATTTGTTTTCCATTGTCGTCCGCAGACAATATGGCTTCGTCCAGGGGCGAAGGGGAGCCTGCAGCGACCTCCGGGATGGGATCTGGGAAAGATTCTACAAAACGGTCGTCAACGACCTCGAGGACGTGGTCCGACCACGCTAGGTCGAAATGGTTCGTCGACTGGTGCTGTGCTGATGCTACGAACCCAGTCCAACAGCCGTGTGGTCCTGTGATCTTCGTCGAAGCCAACAAGCGCCGCAGGGTTCTGGGGGCTGTCTTGCGGTGGGAGAATGCGAAAGGCAGTCGTCTACGGTTTTACATAAAAAATGTGTACGGTTCGAAGGGGAACGTCGTCGCCGGTGCCAATAGGGCAGTTCTCGACATATGTCTGTTCGAGGGGTTCGGAGCGGGTGCTGCGAACACCCCGTTCTACAACGACCTCCGGCGGCAGGGCGGGTTTGTTTTGGGTCGAGAGTTCTTCGACCTGTTCGAGGACAAGGGCATCGCCCTCGACGTCCCTTGCGAAGTCGGTCCCGACCTGGAACTATCAATGCCTTTGCAGCCGTGCGGCGGTTGTGAGTCGAGCAGGGCAGCGGGGGAGGGGGGGGATCAGGGTTCCAGGGAGGCTACACATGTGCAGCGGAAGGATGGCAGAGGTCAGTTTGACGACAACGAAGATGAGGCGACACCACGTCCGCTGTTTTCGCCGTCGAGGGAAAGAGACAGGTCCATGCTGTCCATACCTGGGGTCCGGCAACAGACCGCAGCGGATCCCGGAGAAGAGGGAGTCCTGTGTGGGTCTGGCTTGGAGCCCGCCGAGGGCCATGGCGCAGAAGGCGAGGCCGTGGGCGGGGAGGGAGCGCACGACACTCCCCCAGAAAGGAGGGGAGAATGTCAAGAAGAGTTGGTGGGCTCTTTGAAGAAACAGAAGACCAAGACCCCGTGGACTGCGGGAGAGAAACGGAAGGGGAGGGGGGTGGAAGAGGGTCACCCGGGTAGCAAACGTCCAGCTTCGAAACATAAACAGCCTGAGT